GGAGCAGCGAGGGGCGGGGGGAGAGGGGGGAAGGAGGGAGGAACCCCACGACCGCGGGGAGCCCCCCGCCCCCCGAGACCTGCCCCTACCTCGCCGACCTCTGTGTGTGTGTGTGTGTGTGTGTGTGTGTGTAGTAGACACCTGATTCCTGCGTGTGTCTGTGTCCCGAACGCCTGGGTTCTGCAGGTGTGTGTGTGTGTATTACACACCTGGTTCCTGGGTGTGTGCGCCTCCCGGACGCCTGAGTTTTGTGTGTGTGTGTGTGGGGGGGGGTGGTTGTGTGTGTGTGTCCCGGAGGCCTGGGTCGCGTTGGGGAGCGGGGTGTGTCTGGGTATTTGCGTGTGGTATCTGCTTGTAGCGACCTGCGGGCGTGCGCGGTGTTGTGAACAGTTTCCTTGCGTGCGCGTGTGTGCGTGTCTGTGTGTGAGAGATCTCCCCGCACCAGCTCGTGTGCCCGTGTGTGTTGTTTGTGTGAGCAGAGGGGCGCGGGTGTGTATGTGAGCCGCGTCTTCCCCCGTCAGTGTGTGTGGGTGTGTATGTGTGTAGCTGTACGTGTGTGTGTGAGTCTGTGTGTGTGTGTACTAAGATCGTTGTGTGCAAAGTGTGCCTGTGTTTCTCTAAGCCTGCTTGCTCACGGGCTCCTGTAGCTCGGTGTGGGTGTTGTTGTGTGTATTGTGTGTGCCTTGTGCGTTGTGTTTATAGGTACAGGCGGATGCCTGGATGCGGGGGGGGAGGGCGGTGCAGGTGTGGTTGTGCATGCGACTGTGTATGTGCGCGTATAGGTTTGCGGTGGGTGTGAGCAAGGGGTATGTGTGGGGGTGCGTATGTGTGCATACAGTGTTTATGTGCATGTAGTGTGTGTGTGTGAGTGCGTGCAGTGTGTGCGCATGCAGTGTGGGTTTGTGTATGCATGTGACTGTGTATGTGCGTGTATGCGGTGGGTGTGAGCAAGGCGTGTGTGTGTGTGTGTGCAGTTTGAGTAGTGTGTATGTGCATGTAGTGCGGGGTGTGCGTGCAGTGAGTGCAGTGTGGCTGTGCGTGTGCAGTGTGTGTATAATGTATGTAGAGTGTGTGTGCATGCAGCGTGTGTACAGTGTGTGTGTGTGTGCCCGCGCGTGCCCCCTCCCCGTGTATGCGGTGGGTGTGAGCAAGGCGTGTGTGTGTGTGTGTGCAGTTTGAGTAGTGTGTATGTGCATGTAGTGCGGGGTGTGCGTGCAGTGAGTGCAGTGTGGCTGTGCGTGTGCAGTGTGTGTATAATGTATGTAGAGTGTGTGTGCATGCAGCGTGTGTACAGTGTGTGTGTGTGTGCCCGCGCGTGCCCCCTCCCCGTGTTGGTTTTTGCGGCTCGGCACAAAGCAAACAGCGGGGCCCGGGGACCGGGGCGGGGGCGG